TTTCCCCTTCACATATTTTTTTCATTCCCACTCCCTCCCTCCTTTTCTAAAAAATAAATGTTTAGTGGTGTTTGTATGAAAACACCACTATAAACTCGTATTTTAGTGGCATTTTTGTTAAAACACCGCAATAGTCATTTAATTTAGTGGCATTTTTTGTAATAAATGCCACCATAGTCATGTAAATTAGTGGCGTTTTTAATATAAACGCCGCGATTGTCCAATCCTTTAAGCCATCGGGTTCCAAATCCCTAATTATTTCATTCACAATTCCAAATTTTCCTAAACATCAGAGTGAAGTCGCCCCGAGAAACCATCATCATAAGCGCAACATTATGTCGCCGTCGCCAGTTTCTGGTCAGCAAAATGTATATATCTCTTCTCTTTCGCACTCTTATTTCGACTTTTTTTCTCCCTTGGCTTTGTGTGCTTTCGCCTTGCCTGTTTTGGGAGCAATTCGTGCACCAAAATTTACGGATTGTTTTCGAGGGATAACAGCAACTCGTCCCCCACTTGTCCGAAAATAGGCCCAATCTAAAATCATTCCTATCCTTATTTCTTACGTTTTCCTTTCCTTTTTTTTCTACTAACATCTCCTTTTCTTTAGATCATTTAATGCAATTTTCGCGATGGAAAATTTTAGTTTAGTTACTGCAATTTAATCTGATGAACTTCGTAATGATCGATTTAGTCCTTGTTGGGGTCTACCACATCGGATTTATGAAATGAAAGAGAAAAGTAGGAATGAGTTAAATGAAAATGGAAAAATGAATCCGTGATTTTAGTCTAGTCTACTTAGAGATGAATTTTTTTGCTTTGACTTTCATATGTTTGTCTTTTAGTTCTCCAAAGCCTGAGGGTTTGATTAGTTTTAGGACGATTATTTGAAGCAAGCGTTATGGAAGAGATGGAGAGACCACAAGAGTTCATTAAAAAAGAAATACTTCAAGAATGATCTCAGCCTTGAAGAGAAGCTCCAAAATGTCTCACTTGGAATGCTCAAGTATCAATGGAAAGATACAGTCAGATTTTGGAGTTCACAAAAAGGACAGGTATGATGTATTTTTCAAAAATAATTTTAACGAATTATAATATTGACTTTATAAGTGGTTGTTTGAAATTGTAGGACTGAGAGCATGTTGGTGTTGCTAGCAGGCAACAACAAAGTTTACTTGCACGGCTGGATCAAAGAGCTTTGCTTGTATAGCTAATAACAAGGTATTATAGATTATTCACATAGTTATTTGTATTCCATGTACATACTAACTCAAATTTATTAGATTATGGTACATTGTAGGAAAATACATATGGTTCTAAAGTTGGCCAAATCAAACTCTTCGACATGACAAATACAAGAAAGGATGACACTCCTATGACTACTGAAGCTGCATAAATTATGGTACATTTATTGGATAGAAGATTTGAATTATGTTTTATTTATATCTGTAGTATGACATTTTTATTTGAATTAATTATTTACTTTATTATTAGGACAAATTGAGGGAGAAAAGGGCAGAGTATGAAGCTACGGCTTCGAGTCATGGTCTTGTTAATGTGGATGACATTGAAAATCAAGCTATTAATGACGTTTTAGGTCCTGAAAGATATGGTCGGGTTCGCTGTCAAGGATCATTCGTTACTCCCACCAAATATTTTGGATCCAGTACATGTCATCACAGTTTCAGTCTTCCCAATTAGAAGTAAGTCGTTTAAAACAACAGTTGGCTGAAATGAATCAATAAATGGCTAACAAGAAAGCCAAAAATGAAGCAAGGGAAGCAGAGAGAGAAGCAGCAGAAGCAAAGAGAGAAGCAGCGGAAGCAGAGAGAGAAGCAACATATCAACAGAAATGTAAATAATTTGAAAATCGAATAGAAGCTATGATGCAGATGATGCGGAAAATATAACATCATAATCCACCATCTTAGGTTTTATTTATGTTATATGTTTTGTTAATGTTACTAAACAATGTTTAACTGCATTATTATTACGTTAATGTAAACTTTTATTTACTATAATGGATTTGATGTTGGTTGTTATGGAAATAGAGTTTGTTGTTATAGATGTCATGTTTGTTGGATAATGGAACAGGTTGAAAAAAATAGATTTGGGGTAATCAAAGTAAAAATCAGTTGTTGTCAATTTTGTGTTCATTAGCGGCGTTTGTAATAAAAAAACGCCACTAAATAACAAAAACAATACCGACTTTTTACATAAAGCGCCGTAAAAAGTTTAGATAATCTGCGGCGTTTGTATAAAAAAAACATCGGTATATACCAGACCTTTTGTGGCGTTTGTTAAAAACGCCGTTATAGATATAGAGCTTTTACGTCGTTTTTATCCAAAAAACGCCGCTAAATATCTCAACCTTTTGCGGCATTTTTAAAAAAGCCGCTAAAGATATAGACCTTTTACGGCGTTTGTATCCAAAAAACGTCGATATATCTCTCGACCTTTTGCGGTGTTTATCCCACAAACACCGCTATATATTCGACCTTTTGCGGTGTTTATTCCAAAAACGCCGCTATATCTCTTTACCTATTGTAGTGTTTTTTGTTATCAAACGTTGCGAACTTTAGCAGCGATGATTTGCCTAACGCTTCTTGCGGCGTTTTTCATATCGTCGCGAGCGTTTTTAGCGGTGCTTAAAAACGCCGCTATAGGTAAAACAAACGCCGCTAATCCTCTTTTTTGTTGTAGTGATAATGTAAATTAAGTAGAGGTGCTTATCCAGCGAGTCGATCGTGAGTTGGACAGTGCTCGACTCGTGCTCGCTAAAAAAAATTTATTGCTTAACTCGACTCGTTTCTCGTTAAGCTCGTTAAAATTGTACTCGACTCATGCTCATTAAAAAAAATTACTGATCAACTAGACTCATTGCACGTTAAGCTCACTAAAAAATTACCTTGTTTTTTTAACTAAAAAAATTACTAATACTATAGGAGGATATTAGGGTTGGATTTGTCTTTTTTGTATTAAAATAATATTATTAATTAATAATATTTTATTATTTATTAAAAATAATAGATTAGTTTACTTATTATTTTTATTATTTATTCATAAATTAATAATTATTATTTAGATTTATTTTTGAATGAAATAATTTTGAAGCAATTACTAAAAATATATTTTAAAAAATTAACGAGCTCGCGAACTTATCAAGTGTAGTTAGACTTTGCACGCTCAACTCGTTAAGGTCTCGAGTAGAGCGTTTACCGAGTTTTGAATGAGTCGAGTTCGAGCTGCTCAACTCGTTAAAGAAAATATTAATCAAACTTTGATCCTATCGAATTCGAATAACTTGTAATCTTTCTTATTTTTTTTAATTTGGTTGCATTGAACTTGTACCTTCATTAATTTTACCTAATACTTTGTTTCGGCCAAATTTCATACTCAGCTCACCAGTTTACGACCGTAAAGAACATCATCATCAAAATAGATCGACGAACTAACTTAGCAGAGTCAATGTATGCATCGACTGTAAAGAGTTGAGTTTAGAGTTATATTTGCAGCAATGGAAAAAAAAGGACAACTCCGTCGTTTTCTACTAAAAGATGTGAGAAAGAATTCATTAATTAATATAGATAGTTAAAGAAAATATTATTCTATTTTGAGGTCTCGAATTTAAATACTTGTGCTTATTATAAACAAATATTATTTTATATTTATCTTAGACTATTAAAAACTAAGTTTACCGAAATCATTAGTTTCAAGGTAGTTTGTATTTTTTTCCATTAGTAGGATGAACACAAAATTCTATTAATAGATTCCTGGCAAGTTTACACTAGCTGGAGCTTAGGAAGCTTTTCAAGCTAAGGGACGAGGTTACACCTGTTTCTGCCTTAGTTCCTAGTGTCCAACAGGTTACGGCTTCTTGATTGTGGGGGAGATTAGAAGGAAGGTCCCGAATGTGCCTTGACAGAAGGTAATTCGGCTCCCTTTACATGTTCCTAAGCACTCAATCATTGCATAGTTAGTCATTTGAGATAGGCTTTCAAAAATGAATATTGACGGTGATCCTATGTGTATGAATCGTAATGAGGTTGTAGAAATGAGGGATCATTTATTGTTTTATTGTCTTTTTTTGCGGGGTGTTTGGAAGAAGGTTATGCGGTTTGAGGAGGGATGAATTGGGTTGGAGTCGGGAGCTTGCTTGGGCTGTTTCTTGTTTGAAGGGTAAATCTTTGTTGGTTTTTATTTTGAAGCTTATTCGTGTGCTCATATTTATTTTGTTAGTGACTCCATTTTACGTTGTATACTTATAGTAGGCTTTCTACTTTTAAATGTATATAAATCGAAACTTATTAAAAAAAATATGTTCGAAGAATGAATTTATAGAATTGTAAAAGATATTAATATATTATCAAAAAAATATAAAAAAATTTAAAGTATATAAAAATTATATTATCTTCAGAGATGATTATAAGATCTTATGTTAGAAGACTTACTTTTAATTTTTTTTTAAAAAAAAACAAGATTAATAACGTAAATAAAAATAGACCTCTCCTCTGCCGATCCCTGCCGCCCGCCGCGTCCAATCTTGTTAACTCTTGTTCATGCGTTAAGTGCAAGGAAGACAACATATCTCCGACAACAGTCAACAGAGCCAAGGTGCTGAGAAATTAGCAGAAATGAGATTTGGCCGCAAAACACAAATAATATTTGAAGAAGAAAAAAATAGAACTAAGAAGTAGGGGTTGGCGTGGACAATGGCAACATCGTTCCGTGTTGGAGGGAAAGCCTTACCCTTTGGTTGACCCAACGTGGTTTCCGCTTTAGCAAAGAATTCCGAGCCAACGCCACTCTCAAACAAACCAACCAAAATGCCTTCCTTCTCATTCTCTCCTACTTTTCTTTTTCGTTTTCCATAAACAACGTTCCAAGTTGATGCCAAAGGCCTTTCTTCTTCTTCATTTTAATGCTCTACTTGTTTGTTTAAAAATGAAAATCATTGTTTGTTTAAAAGGGATGAACCGTCTCTGATGCAACAGGTTCAGAAAATGACTGGCAAAAAGGAAGAGCCACCTCAAGCACAAAATGTGAGTTTTTCGTTATAGTTTTTCATGAACAAAAATTGGACCCTTTTGTGTTTTGTCTCTGATGATTTTGTTGGCAGAAGATGGCTCCCAAAAGGGAAGAGCGGGAGCCGTCTCAGGTACTCATTTTTTTAAGCTCTGCTTTTTAGTGTTTGATCTTTGTGTTGAAAATCAATTTTGTTGTCTCTTAAGGGAGATGCCGCAGCAGCTACTCCAGGCCCACCCGAGCATCAGTCTTCTAGATCTGGAAATCCAGTATGAATTATTACTTAAATAATCATGCACTGATCTTTGTTATCACAAACTTCATGTTCACATTTATCTTTATGTATCATTTCATGGAAGGATTACATCTATGTTAGTTATGCTGTGCTTGTTATCAACCATATTACAACTGTTTTAATATTTTAAGTGCTTTGTTAGATCTGTTTCTCAAGCATGGAGTTTTCAAAATTGTAAAAGTTGGCTCATTTTAGGGCTTTTAAGCTTTCTTGTAGGTTTTAAAGAGTGGACCACTTTTTTTATCATCCAAAGGTTTGTTTTATTTGCTTCTGCAATTAAATTCAGTTCCTCATTTACCTTTCACCTTAAATTATATAGTACAAGAAAAATATGCATTGTTTTAAATCAAGATCCCATTTTTCTTTTGATTATAGGAATTGGTTGGACATCATGGAAGAAAAGATGGTTCATTTTGACACATACTTCACTCGTTTTCTTCAGAAGCGATCCTGTAAGTGATTGTACTTTGACATTTTGTATCTACCTTCCATGTACTCTTCCTTCCCTCTCTTGTTGCATTTTGTATACATTAGGTTTAGGAACCCATTGAAGGGCCTTAATGGAAAAAGAGAATGTTTTTCTCTCTAGAAGTTTTGAGTTTGAACAGTTATGCCAGTATATGTACGTGTTATTAATAGTTAAGAAAATTTTTGAACAGATGTTACCATGTAATCACCCTAACTATTCAAAAGAAAAGTTTGTACACATTAGGTTTAGAGAATTAATATACTGTTGTTTTACATCTCAGAATTCCGTATCTCAGAAGGGGAATGAAGTGAATTTAACTTTAGGTGGTATTGACCTCAACAATTCAGGCAGGTTGGCTTGCATTTCTGAAAATGATCATCAATTCTTGATCTCTTCTTCAAGTTGGAATTATTGACTTGTGTTACCTTTTAACATTTCTAGTGTGGTTGTCAAAGCTGATAAAAAGCTTATAATAGTACAATTTAACGATGGCCCCGATGGACGAACCTTCACACTCAAGGTTCTTCATCTATAATTTCTCTTTTATTCTTCTTTTTACTGTTTCGAATCATAGTTTCATCTAAAACTGTTTTCTTGAGTTGTTTTTCAGATTCATGGCACTTTAGTTTTACATTTCCATAGCTTGATAAAAAGTTGAGTTATGGGAAACTTCAAAGCCCAAATATAAAAAAACAGTGGGATGTTAGGAAAAATCAGATGACATGATCGGTTGTTCCATTTGTTGGTGTTGTAGGCCGAAACAATGGATGATTTGTATGAGTGGAAAGCTGCACTTGAGAATGCTTTGTCACAAGCACCAAGTTCTGCTAATTTAACTGGACAAAATGGCATTTTCCGGAACGATCAAGCCGATGTAGATGATGGTTCTAAGGAACCAGGTATATGTACCAAATTTCTAACTCCATTGGCTTCTTTGATTTGTTTATCCTATCATTTGAGATATTGATGCCCTTCTCTGTCTCTTTGTTAGTGAATGATAAACAGCCTGCGAAATCTACAGTCGTAGGCAGACCAATTTTACTTGCCCTGGAAGATGTTGATGGAGCTCCAACATTTTTGGAGAAGGCACTTAGATATATAGAAGAGCATGGTGGGTTTTTCTTTCCTTTTAATTGCTGCAATCTCATTTAAGTAATATTCTAAATTTGTAATTCCCTATACTGAATAGTCTAATGCATATTCAATCTAGTCATGGATGTACATGTTTGTTTTTGTTCATTTAGTTCTTGAGATACTGATATTATGGATGAGTTCCTGCACCATGTACATATTTAAAGCACTTTTATTCATGTTTAAGTAACTCAACAGGTGTCAAAGTAGAAGGGATCTTACGACAAGCTGCCGATGTTGAAGATGTTGAGCGCCGGATTCAGGAATATGAACAGGGTTTGTTCAGATAACCTCTTTGCTTACTGAACATGATAGAGCAAGAAGCACAAGCTACTTCTAACCCTTTTAGGTCTTGCTTTTTAATGCAGGAAAAACCGATTTTGCTTCAGAGGATGCACATGTCGTTGCTGATTGTGTGAAGGTATGCGGTATTAATTTCCGAAGATTCTTTCATTTAAGTTGCAAGATATGCTGACCCTGATGCTTTGTTACCTGATTTTCATGCCATTTTCCAGTATATCATCAGAGAGTTGCCATCACCTCCTGTTCCTGCATCATGCTGCAAGGCACTACTAGATGCATGCAGTAAGTCTTTTGTTCAAGTTCTTTTTCTCCAGTTTTACCCTGTAACAAGTTAAGTCGATAACATGTGTCAACACGACCCATACAATGATTAGGAACTCAGCATGGTTCTAGAGTTAATGCAATGCGGGCGGCAGTGTTGGACACGTTTCCTGAGCCGAACTGTCGATTGTTACAGAGGTAATTGATTCATAGTTGTGTGATTAACCATGTATTCTTTCTGCTACAACTATTTGGGAGCCTTGGAAATGCTTTATACATGAGCATTTTAGTGGAAAGAATGGGATTCATTACTTCCATAATCACAAATATCACCCTTATTCTTTGGCTTTTTGGCTTCTACTTCGGTGTTTTACTTTTTTTGTTCCTTAATTTCAGAATTCTAATGATGATGCAAGTCGTGGCTTCTCACAAAAATCAAAACCTGATGAGCACTTCAGCCGTGGCGGCATGCATGGCACCCTTACTTCTTCGTCCCCTTCTTTCTGGTGATTGTGAGATCGAAATGGATTTTGATGTGGGTTCTAATGATAGTTCAATGCAATTGCTACAAGCTGCTGCTGCAGCTAATCATGCTCAAGCCATTGTTATAACATTACTGGAACAGTATGATCATATATTTGGGGTGAGCTCTCCACAACTCTTCTGATATTGCTTTATGTAGTCACTATACAGACAAGTATGTTCCCCATAAATTTACAATGTCTGAGGCATTTATCTTTGATTCGGAATCGATGTTTTATTTTATCTGTTCTTTTCAAGCAAACATGATTATTGAATCGAAATTGTCTTTTCCTGAAGTGTATGTGCTATGTATTGGCACAGAATCTTAAGTGACTGTGATTGTCTTATAGAATTGTCTGTACATTGCTATTTTTTGGCAGGAAGGTTCTATTTCCTCTCAAGTATACACTGATACGGACGAGAGTGCAAGCGGAAGTGAGGAAGAAGCCGATGATGATGATGATGAGTCCGGTGAGGAAGATGAATCTTGTGAAGACGATGATGGAACGGAAGGGTCTGATGTATCCAATGATGACGAGGATGACGAGGATGATGATGAAGATGATAATGATGAAGAATCAGGCAGTGAAAGTGGCCAGTCTGTTACCAATGATCGGGATGTCAATAAGGTTTGTTCCTTACTGGCTACCATGGCATTTACATGTTATGGTTGTTCATAAACTTCAAAAGTGACAAGTAATAAATTTGAGTATGGAATTTGGAACATTTAAAGCTTTCTATAAAGGTGAAAAGATCAACAAATCAGTAATAAAAGGATAATGCACTGAATATAAAATTGCAGGATTCGGGTTCTTCAAGCTCAAGTACCGAGTCCTCTGAATCTGATGAAGATGTAAAAGCAACCAAGACACTTCCAAGTTCAACTCACAATCTACCGTCTCAAAATGATGATTTGAAAAGTAGGAAAGATTATCAGACCAAGTTGGAGGACACGTTAGCTCACCAAAATCAAACCCCTCATAGCAAACAATCAACAGCAGCCGGGAGTGGACCTGACCGGAAAGCTAGGCGTAACGCTGTTTGGGGACGTACCGCTGTAAGTGTTTTCTTTCTGCACTTATGATTTGTTATGTTTTTAGCCTAGTTGGTTGAGTTTCTCTGTTAGCTAATAACCATTTCCAAGTATGAATCTAGGAATTGGAAGTTACCTCATTTAACTAATAACTTCTCAAGTTCACCGATGGTTCGATGCGTTTATACTCATGCCTTTACTGATTATTCAAGTTACTGGATCTGCATGTCCAGGCAAAGAAGAACCTTTCAATGGAATCAACTGATGTTCTATTTGAAGAAGAGTAAGCAATGCTCCCATGATCTGTATGTAAAAACCTTGTATAAATTTGCCTGCTACCACTTGCTTTCCTGGTTATTCTTTCATATAACATACAATGATGCAATACCAACTAAACGTTGCATGCATCTTTTGAAGCATTCTTTCATGCTTAGTATGAAGCAATCTATCCTATTTCATTTTGTATTACCTAATTTGGTCATTTTTAGGATCGAAATTGAGGCTGAAAATTCTGACTTACAAAACAGACGTGGAGAAGAGGTTCTGCTATATATCTGCCTTTCGAATTATTATTATCTCATCTTGCATGGAGAGTTTTCATAACTAGTCATCTTTCTAATGTAGACCGAAGGTAATGCCAAACTCGAAGCCCGCATGGAAAGACGAAAGAAGGCATTGCAGGATCGTTGTCGAAGTCTTGAGAAAGATGTATGATTGTCAGGACCTTTTTCTTGATTTCTTTTCTGAGCTGTCCTTTCTGTTTCATGCATGATGTTATGCTTATAGGTAGCAAGATTAAAGGAAGAGTTGCAAAGGGAGAGAGATAAAAGAAAAGCTCTAGAATCGGGGCTTAACTCGTCTCAAGAACCTCGATTTCTCCCCGATAAAATCGATGAAAAGGTATACAATGGCCTACCTCTGACTTAAACTTGTGCACCTAATCCTTATTTTTGCATCAAACTTTAACTTGCTTGGTATTATGAAGACAAAGGCAACTCTCAAGGACATAGCTCAAGCAGAGACAGACATAACCAATTTGAAACAAAAGGTTAAAGATCTGCAAATGCAGCTTAAACAACAGCAGGGAACTGAAGCTGTTTTTAAAGGCTCAGACAAAGCAGCAGGAGCAGGCCAATATGTTCGGAATCATTGAATTAGGGCAGTGAACTCAAATGAAAAGGCGATGATATGAATTTTGAAGGGCATGATGTCCTACAATTCAGATAAAAGCTCAAGAATTAGGAGGTAAGTTTCCTGATAGTCCTGGAATCATTGTTTCTGCAAAGGACGTTGCTGATATCCTTGGAGAATTCACCTTAAGAGTGTTGATGATGCTTTGATTGCGGGGAAAGTTTACCGGGGAGGGATCAACGATTTTGCTAGGCGCAACTGATTTCGATTCCACCACACTAAAAGAAAAGAAACTGATAAACCGCCCTCTAATCCAAGATGAAAAATGTCAATTATTATGTGTCCTTAGAGTTAAGCTGAAATAAGGCAAAATGTTGGCGACTGGTTTTTGTTGTCAGAGAATCCTAGTAGTATTCATATGCATATGTAATTTTAATTCATGAAACATTTAATATTCTCATTAAAAAAATAATTTCGTAGAACTTTAATGTCTTTCGTGTACAACAAGCAAGCAAGCATTGTTGAGGCAGATGGGCTGAACCTTATGACATTCTTTTTTCAAGGAATGGCTGCCTTGATGAAGTATATCTCTAAAAACAATTTATGCATAATTTTACCAACATTTTTAGTAGTTTACCTGCCCTAAATTAACTTTGCTCATCCTGGAACTACCCAAATTCCACAATCTAATAAAGGAGAAGATTTGGTTTAAAAGCTTGTCCAACAATCAGTTTTCCATGCCTCCTGATCCAACGGTGGAAACACCTCTCCAAATATAACAGTTGCATTGTCCAAATGTTCAGATTTGACCATTGAATCTAACTATATATAATTATTGTATTTTAAAATAATCATCAACTGTCGCTTTGGCCGAGTGTTTAAGGCGTGTGCCTGCTAAGTACATGGGGTGTCCCCGAGATATTTTATTTTTATTTCGTTGGATTTTATAGATGCTTCTCTGTAGCTTTATGGTGGTGGGCCTTGAACACTGTTAAATATATATTAGTAGTGTTGTATAAAGATAATCATGGAGCAGTGGATTGGTTCTCAACTTTGGAAACTCACTAGTCTCGTCTCAGTACTTTATGGGTTAAAATACAAACTCCCCACCATAACGATTCACACAATACACAACTTAACTGCATTAATAGGTTTCATACACTAATTTGTAATATCATAATATAGGTTATTATATTAATTTTAATAATATTTCTATTTTTATAACCCTCATGTCATCTTTAGTTTTACAACCTATTATTTTTATACTACTATTAAATAATCAAGTCTAATAAAGTGCACGTCTAATTGGCATACTATGATCTGATTGACATAGATACATGCTCAACGTTTGTTATATGAGATATGATTGAGAAGATAAGTTTAATTGATCCTTTAGGGTTTTTTTTAAGTGTTAGATGTTGTATTGTTTATTATTTCTGTTAAGCCATTGAACATTGACTATGATTGCATGGCAATGGTCCATAGATATATCTATATTTATCTATAATAAAAGAGTAGCATTTTAGAGTAGGAGGGTACAGTCAATTAAGATTATGCACAACCTATTTACCGATACATATATCTATATTTATCTATGTTTTGGTAGCCATGAAAGAAGAATATGAAGGCAAAAACATCAAAACAGATTCGATGGCCAAAGTTCCTACTTCGATAGATTCAAAGGAGCATAAAAATAGTTCATTTGATCAAATGTTTTTCATTATTGTCTCTAATCATGTGGAGCTACTATTGTCATACAAGAATCTAATAGGATTCACAAACAAGGGAAGGAACATGGATATTCAATTTTTAAAGAGTATTTGAACATTAATAAGCAACAAGGAGGGTTCCATAATATAATCATTATCAGCTATATCATTATCCTTGGGTCCAGTATTATCAGCATACTAACAGAAAGAAGTAAAACAATAATGCGCATTCAGTTTTCAACAAAGATCAGGGCCTGAAACCTCTTGATGAAAGAATTGAACTTGGATTTCGGGTGAGTCAAGAATAAGTGATTGGAGAGTTGCAGCATAAGTACCCAAACCAGCAGAGTTTGAGCTTTTCTCTTGTGCACCATCTACACTACCACTAACCTCAGTAGACTTGCTTTGTTCCGTGGCTTTCTTTGTCAAAATATAATCATGGAACAACTTAAGTGCATCAAGAGCAGAAAGTGAATTCACATATCTATGTAACTCCCGGAATTTATCTCTCTTTTCTTGTTTTTCAATCAATCTCTCCATTAACACATCCGGAAGACAATCCAGTGCACTTTTAAAGGCAAAGAACACAAAAAAAGAATAAAATTTTGAAAAAATATTCAGAATAATGTCGTGCGGAAAATGTATATGCAATGGGTTCTAGACATTAAAAAAAAATGTTAACTTCTTCATTGTACCTAGTAACACCTCTTGTAATGCCCCAGTTGTACCCTACAGGAACTGATTGCTTAAAGCCGATATTAAAACCTTATTGTGCAGAAGCTTCTTTCCCTGCTATCAGGCCATCACGATAACCGATCTAGAAATTCTCTACAGAAAACTGACATCAATTGATAAACAAATGAACTAAAAAAGGAAAATTGAAATTATCAGGTACCGTATGGAATTGATCATGCCTTCTCTGCCATTCACGATCTAAATCGGATGTTTTATCCAATTCCTCGTCCGAACCACCCCATAAAGATCCATCGTCAGCCTGAATGTCCGCCTCACAGGAATCTGAAAACAAGAAAAAGACAGCAGTTCTAAATAACGTAAAACTTTTGGTACCCATGGAATTGGTAGGATTAACAAATTACCATTGGCAGTTGATGAATGGCCTAATTGTAAATTGGATAGCTGCAAACTTTCTGAATAGAGCTCTTGGGCCAATTTATCATCCATTTCTCTGTAACAAAAAAAGAAGGGGAAAAATCACTTTAGCATTTCATCAGACACCTTCAGTTCAACATTTTTATACTTGAGTTCAAACCTAAAAGTAAGAAAATACAAGTCACAAGAATCTTCAAATTCCAACATAAATTTTTAAAGAACAAGCACTTCTAAAACAAACTCAAATAAGAAGATAACAAAATCAAAATAAAGATTTCCAAATCTTGATTACAAATTAGCTTCCCTCCTGTTTTAGTTCCTTGAAAAGACCAAAATCCAAACTCAGCTAAAGGAGTAGAGAACAAAATTGACAAATCCAGAACATCAGAATCACAACTCATCAGCATAAAAAAACAACCCCTTGAAAGAATATATGAAAAGAACTACCATATCTTCTGCTCACTTGTTCAAAATAAAAATCCATCAGCACCCTACTTTTTCTAGACTACCAAACAGACGCTGAAACTAGAAAATCACCTAAAAATCTCAAATTTCTAACCAAGACAACAAAATATGGAACTTACAACAAGCAATTCCAGCCCCAACTAAAACCATAGGTTTCCCTTATTATAAGAACCTTTACTTTCTTATCAAACGATTGTTTCTCGAAACAAAAGGCAAACTTTAGAGCATAAGCAAATATACAGAATCGAAAAGGAGAGAAAATAGCAGGATAAGTTGCCTGCGATACAATAGGACACTGTGGGGTCGTCCCTCAAAAGCTTCAAAAACTTCACTGTGCTTTTTTCAGTCCCTATTCTTGTTCGTGAAAATGAGAAAGCTTCGAACTTTTCAGCGTTAGTGAAGAGGAGGGGAGAAGGAAGCTGTTTTTAGCCCTTTTTTTCTCAACTTGCAACTGGTACTCCAAGTTATTTACCCCTTACGTTTTTTTTCTTTTATCAACGGTTGAGATGGTATGATCTTTCATCTAAACGGTTGTTTTTATTTGATTTCATAAAGAGAGAATCTTATATTGACGCAAATTATAGTATATACCCTCCCTACCATATAGAATGACTCAACTAATAATATTAACAAATAAAAATAATTAACACATATATTATTTTATAATCACTTTAATTTAATAAACAAGTTATATAAAACTTAATTTATCTTAATGACCTACGTTCTATTTAGAATATATAGTTTAAGATTTTAATATTTAGATTGTCTCCGTTGTTGAGTTTTTTTTTTGTTAATAGATGACGGTATTAATTTTAATATTGATTATCATCAATGATATTTTTTTATCTCATATATATTTTTTAATAATTTTATATTTATTGTATAATTTTTTCTATTTTTATAGTACACTTTTCTTTGTCTTTTGGTATTTTTTTACCATTTTTCTTTTATTTTTCTTAGGGTTAAATTTAATGTCGTCACGACTGATCAAGATGGCGAACAATTAATCATTAGTTATCTCGTTGATCTTCCTTGCTTTGGACTCTCGAATTGGATTTGGACTTGTAACTTGTGACCGTAGATAGTTATCTCGCAATGCTTGGAAATGATTTGTAATTTATTGGTTGTCTTTCCGTAGTTCTATCCTCTAATGTGGTTTGTTTGACATAGCAATCAGATCTATTCATATCTACTTTTTGTTTAAGTTTTTATGAATTAGGTTTTCAACTTTTTTTCGTGACATGATCTTGAGTTTCTTAATTATTTTATGAGAATATTCCAATTAAATGCTTAATTTAAGATTTTAATATTTAGAATGTATGGTTTAAGATTTTAATATTTAGAATCTATGGTTTAAGTGTATGATTTTAGGATTTAAAATTTAGAATTTAAGATAATTGGAAAAACTGTCTTTGGGTTTATTGGCACAAAGAAACCTATCACTATGGCTTGGATCCGTGGTTTTCAGAGAGCTCTTTGTACGAGACCTCTCGATTTCTTCACACCCTTGAAAGCGAACTCTTTATTGAACTTGAGATGCTTCTTGATCAAGAGGAGTTAATTTGGCGCCAAAAATCCCGTTCCGATTAGGTCACACTTGGAGATAGAAACACTCGCTACTTCCATCGTCGAACGATTTTGTCGCAAACAAAAAAAAAATTACCACTCGCAATTTCCAAATCCTGGGTTGATCTCAAAGGCAGCATCGCGTGGTCCCTCGGTAACGGAAACTAGACTCCTTGATGATGTTTGGCTCCCCTCCCTGGGTCCCCTAAGGCAACACAATAAAGATCAGACCTATTCTATGCGAGATCTCACTTTCTCAGACCTTACCGATCAAATGGGACAATGGGATGTAGAAGAACTCCTCGTCTTTTTCTCTCCTAGAGTGGTCGCTCACATTGTAAGTATTAAAAGCCCCGATCCTATGGACACCGACGACCGTCTATTCTGGAAGGATAACAATAAGCATACTTTTGTTTTAAACAATGCATATAATAGAATTGCAGAGAATTCGTGGGATACTAAACTTCCTGTTTTGAAGTTACTGTTGACTCTCCAAGTTCCCCAACGTTTGAGATTATTCATGTGGATTGCCTTCAAGCAAAGATTGATGACAAACGTTGAACGATGTGTCGCTCTATTGGACACGAGTCACACGACCCCGTTCTGCCCGGCCTGTAACTCCGTGCGATTGGTTCACTGAATGAAAGATTACTAGTGGAAATGGAAGATTACCAGAGAATAGTATTACTGAAAATATTGTATTTTGTGTTTGGTTGGCTTAGCAGGAATATAAGATTATCGAGTTTGGTTAAAAGAATAAAAAATTATTAGAATGTATATTTGACCAAATTATCTTTATTATATATTTGTTTTTTTAACAAGTTGGAAAATATATATATATATATATTAAATTTAAATTCATAAAATTTATATAATTTTTTTTTCAAAATTGAAAATATAAAAAGGTTTAATGAAAGAGTAAAATTTTATTTTAACCCCTGAACTTCATATAAAATTTTAATTATAGATTTTTTTTTGTAAATCTAAAATAGTTTAAGGATAAATTTGTAATTTAACATTCGTAGAATTTTTATTATTCAATGACAGAAAAATGATATTTAAAAAAAATTAAGGGCATTTTAGTCCAAAACGCTGTGAATCCAACAATACCTAAAGAAATTGAGGTAATGACATTTCTGGTAATATACCCCAAAAAATACACTATTGGTAATCTTACATTACCGGGAATGAGATTCTTGGGCTAACCAAACGGGGGAATGTGGATTTCATTCTCATGGGAATCTCACATTCCTCCATCCAAACACTCCCATGTGAATGAAATCTACATTCTCCCGTTTGGTTGGTCGGGAATGTCATTCCCAGTAATTTTACATTACCAATTGTGGATTTTTTTGAGTATATTACCGGAAATGTAATTACCTTCATTTTCTTAGGTATTTTTGGATTACTAGTGTTTTGGACTAAAATGCCCTTAAAAAAATTCTTTTAAAAATATTCTTATTCTGTCATTGAATAATAAAAATTCTACAAAAGTTAAATTACAAATTTATCATTAAACTATTTTAGATTTACAAAAAAAAATCTATAATTAAAATATTATATAAAGTTCAGGAGTTAAAATAAAATTTTACCATTTTATTAAACCTTTTTATATTTTCAATTTTATAAAAAAATATATAAATTTTATAAATTTATAATAAGAACAATTTGATTAAATATACATTCTAATAATCTTTTATTCATTTAACTAAACACAGTAATCTTACATTTCTACTAAACCAACCAAATACAAAATACAACATTCATAGTAATCATATTCTCTAGTAATATTTTATTCTCACTGGTAATTTTTTATTCTACTAGTAATTTTTTATTCTCACTGATAATCTTTCATTTCATGAATCAAACCCCCTACAGAATTAACGTCTGTGTATCAACATTATTATTATAGAATAAAATATATTTTCTGATACGGGATATGTGTTAAAAAGGCCGTTTATTGGTTGTTTAGAAAAAGGGAAAATAAAAGGAAAGTGGAAGTGATAAAAAAGGTAATGGTGCAGTGCAGGCATGGCGACGGATGTGATTGAGAGAAGTGATGCTAAAGGAAAAGCAGGGTTAAATATCTGGCTACGTTTCTCAACCAATGGCTACCCATGGTACGGACATCTATAACCCAATGGAAAAAACACAGAATCAAATATAATAAAAAAAGAAAAATAATAGGCTGAAATAAAAGCTACTTTCTTTGGTTTGGTTATGGCATAATTAATAATCATACCTTAACTCTCTCTTCCCTAATTTTTAAAAAGGTAAACAACACATTTAATATCTGAATATTATTTTTATTCTATTTTGGTCCTAAATTTTATATTTTTTAAACCATGCTTAGGTTTTACTTTAATATTTATTATTATTTTTTGATGTGATACATTTTATTAATTTTAAAGATAATATTATTTTATTTTATAACGACACATCAATATCATTGTTAAATTTTTAATGATAAGACATCAAAATAAAATTTAAACCAAATAGTAAGCATGATTTAAAAAAAATTAAATACCAAAAAGGTAAGACATCAATATCACTACGGGTGTTGTTTACCCTTTTTAAAAAATAACGAATTAATATTAAAACTTATATTTTTTATAAGGAGAGGAAATATAAATGATTGAATATTAAACTTAAAAATTAATATTAAATAAAACTAAATTTTCTATTTAATATATTGGCAATATATATTTTTTATAAAATTAATAAATTAATAATATAAATTATATTTAATATATTTGCAATATATGTTTTACTAATATTAATGAATTAACAATATAAATTATATTTAATATATTTGCAATAAATGTTTTAATACATTAGTAGCTTTAGTAATACAACTTTATACATTTTAAGTGAATTATATGGTATTATAGTGAGATTATATAAAAATATTGAATATAAATGTAAATATCTTATACTAATAACATGTAAAACCTGATTTACTAAAAATATTCAAAACTGTATCATATATGAAACATAAAACATGCAAAATGTAAGATAATAAATTTTTAATCGGATGACACATTATAAATATGTAATTGAATAAATTTGATTTTATATAAATATTATTATATAATCATATTTAATTTACTAATATTATCTAAAATTATAAAAAATATATTTTGATTATTTTAAAAGTGAATTTTTAGCTAAAAGTTAATAATTTAAGAATATTTTTATGTTTTGAACGGAATTTTAGACATACTACCATAAATGTTTTCAAATGATCCCTTAATTAATTTAAAATGTATGTTATTTTATTTAATTTGCGAAAAGAATCTTAAAGAAATGAGAAAATAACCTCAGTGACCAAAAGTGTCTTATAATATACGCTTTTAACCAATTTTTTTTTTTAATTTGCCAAAATGACCAACTAAATCGCAATGCGATCGATAATTCGCAACGCGATCTCCGATATCGCAAATCAGTTTCTAGATTCGCAACGCGAACTTCGACTATCGCAACGCGAACTTCGACTATCGCATTGCGATTTACATATTCGCATTGCGATAGTCCAAGTTCGTGTTGCGATAGTCGAAGTTCGCGTTGCGATTTTCCAAATTCGTTGTGATAGTCCAAGTTCGTGTTGCGATTTATTCCAAATTTGTTGCGATAGTCCAAGTTCGTGTTGCGATTTATTACAAATTCGTTGTGATAGTCCAAGTTCGTTGCGATAGTCGAAGTTCGCGTTGCAATTTATTCCAAATTCGTTGCGATAGTCCAAAATCGCAACGACTGGTGGTATTACATTTGTTTCTTAAGAATTTTTTCTAAAAAGATAGTATTCGCGCGGACGTGTCGAAGACAC